GATACACTATCTCTCTCTCTCTAATCCCTAGCTCCAAAAATCCAATCTCCCCTGCAACCTCCCCACCCCACCCCACCCAAAACCCCAAAAAACCCAGATCGGTGTTGATCATCTACGGACTCATCTATGCGATGGTCCCGACCGAAGAATTGCAGGGGTCCATGGTCTTAGCCAAAATCCGAGGTACTGGATGGCGATGCACTTGTCGTCCTGGGCACCGCCGGCGAAAATGAGGCCCTCCGGGGTGCGGTGGGCCGAAAATGGAGGGTGGGTCCACTAGCCGTTGGGTTTGAATTTCAATTTTTTTTTACTGTTCAAAATCCAATAGTTCAGAAAACTAGCCGTCGGAAATCCAACGGCCGAATAAGTGCCACATGGCTTATCCCTGCTCCCCTTTTTTGTGTCTGAGATGGCGGGCCCCACTGTCTTTTTTCTGTCGAGAATGCGTGCTCACTCGCGTGTGTTTCCCATGTGCCTGATGCAAAAGAAAAATTATTGGGCCTCGCTAACATCATGTTGATGCCATCATGATGTCACATAGGCCGGTACATTGGTCAGCACATTTTGGGCTGGCCTATATGCTGGCTTAGGCTATGAGCTGGCCTATTTGGATCAACTGGAGGGGGATTTGAGTGAAGCCAGCCTATTTTTTTAGGCTTTGTCCTAGCCTATCCCATTGGGGTGGACTTGCTCTAAAGTGGGTTTATGGAATAATCACAAATCACAACAATAGGTTAATGTTGGAATCAGTTTGGCCAAACGAAAATCAAACAGACGACCGCCAGAGGGACCAAAACAGATTAGATCCCAACACAGACAGGAGCCGACAAAGAGATAGACAGAAAGAGAATAAGGTTATCTGAGAGGGAGAAGAATTAGGGGAGGCTTTTGTGAGAGGGGGAGGAACTAGGGTTTCAATATGATGTGTGACGTGCTAGGTTGGGAGTAGTCAAGTTATTACACCTAGTAAGCTTGAATATTTGTCTTATATATACAACTTAATCACATCGTTCCCAGTTGCTTCGGCGGTGTTGTGCCTAACGGTGTTAATGGTTTGACTCTAATGGTGGATGTCTTTGAAACATTTTCTAAATTAATACGGTCGGTTTGGGTGGTTTTAACTCGAGTAATGTTTCCAATCTTGAATTGTCTGTTTATTAGATTACTTTTAAGTGTGGTTAATTTTTGGTAGAGTTGACCATTACTAGGTGACTTAGAAATAGTTAGTTTGAATCATCTTGCGACATTGAAAAATAAGAAGAGTCGAAAATATAGAACGAGAATGTTCAAATTAGAAGATTATTAGAATTTTTTGTATACTTTTAGGTCTTCAACAATGTTTTCTAATAAACAATATTATCTATACTAACGGGTGAGGGAGGGAGAGTGGGGTGGGATGGGGGATGGGGGATGGGGGATGGGGGATAGGGGAGTGGGCTAAACCTCACACTGGGTTGGCAATAATATGGTTTAAATTCGCCTTTGGCAGAATCGAGCCTAAAAAAATACCATTAGATCATACTACTAAGTAGCAGTTCTTTAACATTTTAGATAGCATATATTTATAGGTTTTAACATTTAGCGCCCATCAGCTTTAGGCATGTAGTTTCTTCAACTTTTACTCTTACCTAGCACACAAAACTCATAATATACGAATCCAAAATCATGTCAATTGCACCTTTCAAGTTTAATAAATTTCAATTAGTTTATTGTTCTAAGGTGGCCATAATTTCGTTTTTAATTAGTTAACAAAAACAAGATCCTCCCATTGGTGCCTTGCTTATCGACACTCATCGCCAGACCAAACCGGCAGTGTTGTCCATATATGACCCAAAACTTGGTTCTACAATGCACTGGTTAAGCCGATCCAGGATTCCATCACATAATACAACTTAAATAAAGCTACTCAGGATTTTCAAGCCGGAAAAGTCATCAATCTATCGGGAAGACAAGGAATCAAGACAAACAAACACTAAGATAATGAAGGAATTTCACAGAAACAAAGATATGGCAAACGTCTGGCTGTGAAAGCTCGCCAGACAGGGGCCGGCCGTAATTAGGGCCTGCAGTAACTTTGCTCCCCCTGTTTCTTAAAAATTCTTACATACTTCAATTTCATGCTCTATGTACAATTTCATGCTTTATGTACAATTTCATTCTTTGTGGCCTCCTTAGTTTGAATTCTGGTTTCGCTACTGTCGCCAAATGAAGGATATCCGACTGGATCCCCTCGCTACCGGTGTTACTCTGTTTTCTTCTTCCTCTAGAGAGCTAGGGTGGGGAAGTCAAGTTTATGTGAACCTTAATTTAATGTAAAAATTAAGAAGGCATGCATCCTTGGTGATTTGCCTAAAAAATAAGGACGTTTTCTGTTACCTTGGAGAGGTTCTAAAAGATGCTTGGAGCTAGAAGGGGCTTATCGGACATAGACAGATTTAAGTAAATTTATTATATATTAAATAAATAAGTTCATATTTATACTGGAAAAAAACACATAGTTCTATTGGGATACATAAATTGCAAAAATAAAATGATATATAAATTATAAATTATTAGAACATATTTAAAACATGGAGAACAAACATATAATGAGTTTCATCCAAATATTCAACAAGCCTCTTATATTTTATTTTAAAAAAATGCAAAATGATAGTTATCGGTTTCATGTCTAAGTGAGAGTCGCAACCTAAACGGATGCCTAGGCAGAAGCCTAGTCGAGTTAGGTGCACGCCTAAGTGAGTCTAGAAGCACTTTCTTAATTTTCAAATACCTAAAAATTAATCAGAACGGCAACTAGCCACCTAGCACCTAGGCGGCACTAGACAGGAATTTTTAAAACAGAAACCTTGTCCACATAAAATGTCCGCTCAACTAGAAATACAACCCAAACTCCCATCCAAAGATCAAAAGAAATTCCAACGGTGGGGATTTGTTAGCCGAAATGGCAGTGGTTCTTTATTTTTTTTTTCTTTTTAATAATCGATATTATTTATACTAAGAAAAATAGGGTAAACTTAACCTTATAATAGATTAATAATAATGTAATTTGAATTTTCTTTAACAAAAATCAAACTTAAAATCTCTTATTTACAAGTAAAAAAAATATTACTAAATGGCAAATAACAGTGTCCACTGTCCAACATGGTCAGAACCATGGCCTCTATTATGGATTTGGATCCTCTCCTGAGCAGGAGATCAGGATCCTCGGGATGAAACAATATGGACCGTTGAATTTTGATCTAACAGCTACAAACAGAGGGTCTCTCTAAAAGTTATAATAATTATAACCGTTGGATTAAAATCCAACGGTCCATGTTGTTTGATCCTAAGGATCTTGATCTCCTGCTCAGGAGAGGATCCTCCTCCGCCTCTATTATTGAGATTGTTGTTTTTTTGTTTAAGATATTGTTATTATAAGGATCTGTGTTTTCGTTTAAGCTGCCAAAGGTGCGACGACTTTGGATTATTGTGGGTCCCAACAAGTTAAAGTCAAATTATCTCATTTTGTGACAATAAAAAAACCAAAATAATACTCTTGTTTTATAATCTTCTAAAACTTAATAAAAATTATATTTTATTTATTTTATGGCACGTAGCATATTTACAAAATTATACCTACCATGTGCGACTAGTTTTATAGTATTTCACTCATCATGTTATGAGGGGACCCGCTTGTAAGTGGATGGAGGAGGAAATACATATGCTTCTGTTTTTCTGTTGTTGCCACTCATGTCATATTGTAATGTATTATGTACCCGCGAAAGTTCAGCAATTTCATTTGTATAAATTGGATCGTTTCACTAATTTATCTACTCTTTTAATGTTAAGTATGGGGGTTAGAGTCATAGATGATTGAAACTGCAATCTGCAGAAACACCTGTAATAATATATAATAATAATAATAATAAAGATAAAGAATGAACGTATAAACTAAAAAATTAAAATTGAAAAATAAAAAATAATTATCAAACAATCTCTTATAAAGAACTACAATTTGTATTATATAAACTAAAAATTGAAACTGAAAAATGAAAAATAATTATCAAACGGTCTTTTATAAGGAACCATAATTTGTATTATGGTTTTTGCTCTACTCGCCGTTAGTCCTCGAAACCTCTATCCTTCATGGTGGTCTCTCTCCTTTTGCGAGCGTTTTCCTCTCTTGTGTGATTCCCTCCCTCGCTCCCCCCCCCCTTAAAATTTGGTTTGGCTTCACTCCGGCTATCATTTTGAGAGTCGTCGGCATGGTCGCCGTCTATCGCCCTATTTCCTCTTCTGTTGTCTTCTTGTCTTTGTTTAAATTTATGCAAACCCTAGTCCCAAACTTGAAACCTCTTTCCCTCAACCCCAGCCCTCCATATTCCCATCATAGACTTGCATCTAATTCCATTTCTATCATCTTTATTCCCACCACCTTCCCTCTACCACAACCAAAAATCAAATCTTAAAGCTCTGGATCTGATATGGATTGTTACACCACCACCCACTACCCTACCAACATGCCAAAAAATTTGGGCAAAGGGTTCTACAACTTGCGTTATAGTAAGGGTATTTTACACATCCCCTTAGCCCTCTCCACCTCTCGATTACTATACCATTTTGGTTCTCTTCTAGCATGTGCGGTTGATGGCGGTACAGATTTAGATGTCTCAGTCAAGTGAGACACTCTAAGATGTGATTTTTGCTTTGGTATGCCTGCCATTTTTGGGTTGTTTTGGTTGTGCCTTGCTTTTGCAAATTCACCTTCGTTTAGGTACCTACATGATGGCTACTTCGGTGGTCAGTCGCATGAGAGAAGTGGCAGAGGGCTTCTATTTTGACGGGGATTAGGGTTTCCGGTTGTTTCAACTTTTGACCTATTGCTTTTGCTATTACTATTACAGTTACTTGTTTATTTTTTTATCTGTTCAATTCCTATGTAATGGGTTTGTAGTATTTTGGTGGGCTTAATCTCTCAAACCTTGTTTCTTAAGAGAGATTTTTCAATGTGCCCGAAATATGAGTATAAATCTCAGATGTCATTATACAAGTAGAGGGACACTTGAAAAAAAATAAAAATTCTCTGCACTTATATAATGACACATAGCGTACCACTCCTTGTTCATGCCATGTAGAAATTTTTTTCGTTCCTTAGATCCAACCATCACAAATTATACATTTATTTTCTTTAATGAATTAATGTTTTCCGAAAAAAAAAAGGAACCATAAGATGACTAAGAGCATCTCCAAAGGAGATGTCAAAATGTCCAAATCAACAATAACAGTAAAAAAAGACAGTTGCAATGCTTTCCAATCAAAAAGCTAAATCTGATATAGCATGACATGGTATGACAGCTTTCCCCTTTGCTATCAAATTTGACAGCAACGTTTAACATTTTTTTATTAATTTTTTTATCAGATCTGCAACTCTCCTCTCTCACCTCCTTCAATGGCATCCATGGCCACCCTTTCCGTCAACACCCCTTACCCCTCTCACTCTTTCCCCAAGTCGTCATCTGCCCATTTCGCCCCTGTCCTCAAGCTCTCAACCCATATCGGGTCCAAGCCCATGACCCGCCAAAGGCTCTGAATTTCAAACAGGTTGATCGAGCCCAACGACGGGAATCTGGTTCAGCTGTTCGTCGAGGAGTCAAAGAAAGGCGAGACGAAGAAAGAGGCAGCGGCGCTTTAATTTTCTTGACAACCAAACTGAACAGAGAAAAATTAAAGGAGGATACTTGAAGGATACCTCAAAATAAAAATTCTTGAAACAGTTCAAAGGATGTAAGTTTAATTTCCAAAAACCCTGTTGAAAGTCAACAATCCATAATTTAGTTTCTTAAGCTCTTTTTCTTTTTTGGTTTGATGACTTTTCTTATGCTTTTCTCAGCAACCAAGCAAGTATTTATGAAAAAGGGGAATCGATCAGACCAGATATCGTCAGGATGAATGGAAAAGAATTTGATATTTGGTTAACTTAAAATTGGATGAAAATTCAAAGAATACGTAATTGAAAACAGAGGGTAAGAATTGAGTGTGTGCCTGCTTACCTCTTTCGTTTGTCTCGGGAAGGAAATGGGAGCTCTATCTCTCTTTCTCTGCGTGTAGGAGTGGGGTTGGGTTGGGACTCTGGAGTCTTCATTCCAAACCTAGAAAATAATAGTTTAATAAAATAAAAAGAAAAGAAAATAGTGTAATAAAATAATATTTAATTTGATATACCAAGTGGAGAGTAAAATTTTGAAAGATATCAAAATACCACATAGGCTCTCAAATTCAAATTTTATATTTAAAATTTAACATCTCTTTTGAAGATACTGTGAAAACATATATTAGAACCATATTTCCCACACGTCTCAAATCCCAAGCCAACTCTTTGATCAACTACTACCCCAAGTTCACCTTTCACCATATACGTACACGTCCCAGAGTTAGAAGCAGAGAAACTGCCATTGCAGATTTCCAATTGGTGTTAAATCCTTCACATGTCAGCAAGCACTGGGATGGACCATTTTATTGGGTGTGTGAGCCTCGCAGGGGGTGGGTCAGAACCCCAAGGCAATCCGTATCACAAAACAATTAAACAATCATCATCACTCATAGCAGCAGCAGCAACCGACAAGTCACCGGTAATTAGAGAAAACAGTCTAAAATACTAAGATATAAAACGTGTTTATAACGTTATAACTTTCTTTCACATAACATTATATTATTATATTATAATTTTCGTTCGATATAACATTACATTATTAGACTTTGATGTTAAGGTGGAGCGAAAATTTATTATACGAAAGAGTTATTATTTTGTTTCCACGTGTTATTATATAAGTTGTTTATACCATATTTAAGGTTTTGTATTTAGATCTCGTACAAATATTCGGGGAATTTAAATATAATTATGTAATAAAAGAAAGGGAAAATATGTAATAAAGGAAAGGGAAAATATGTAATAAGTGAAGAGTCCTTATTCTATAAAAGGACCCCTCACCTTCACAATTGGAAGATGCCAATTCCTAGGCCATCTCACCCCCTCTCAAAGCTCTCACTCTCAGATCTATCTCTCCCTCAGATAAATACATAATCAGTGTGGACGTAGTCCAAACCTTGGGGTGAACCACGATACATCTTGTGTTATTTACATTTCATGCAGATTCACGGTCGAATTTACGTTGTTCCAAGACCTCCGATTTTGTGCATCAACATAAGTAGATGACAATATTTCAAAATAAAAACATGTCATAATTGATAACACCAAATTGAATGTGGCACGCGAGCGAAAATTATTTTGAAGTATCATCTTGTATTATTTAACTTTAATTTTTTTATCATTATTATATAGATTACATAGAGGTAATATATTTTAAACTACCTAATGGTATGTTTATGTACTTGAAAACAAGGGAGGTCATGTAAACGAGAAAAATAAATAGGATTTGAATCAACTAATCTCTCCTAGTTAATATGATTCATAATTTTCACGTATTGGAATTAAGAATTTTAAGGTTGAATATACATTTCTTTTATATCATAAGTGTTAGCAAACACATGAGAATCTAAAAATTTAAATGATTACAATACTCACGTTTTAGTAAACATATCGAAGTCAATCATCCTAATGCATCGAAATTTTGTTCTCTATAAGTAAACATGTTATTTGTTAAGAGATGATGATTCAAACTCAGTTTGCAAGAGAGCAAGATGTTACCCTAACAAGCAGGACTAATCTTGAAGATGCATTTTCATAGTGATTCAATATTTGAATATTGCATATTTAAAAGACGGTGCACAATGATTATTTTGAAATGTTGATAATAATCTCTTTATTTGATTTTAATTTATTCTCTTTATTTATTAATTTTCTAGAAGTAGAGAAATTGCATAGCATAAACGATGAATTAAAAGTCGTACTATAATACGAGAGCAAGGGTGAGGGTCCACTTGGGGACGGGGTTAAACGGCGGGGATCAAATGCGACATTACATAACCACCCCCCAAAACATTATTAATTTATTCTGACTCATGAGGGGAGGGGGTGGCCTTCCTCGGAGACGTATAAAAATAGAGGCAGCCACAAGCACTTTTCCCACAAGCACTTGTTCCCAAGTTTCAGTCTCCCCCTTTGTTTTCTTGGGATTCAGAAATGCCCTTTTAGTATCATCCTCCTCCTCCTCCTCCTCCTCCTCCTCCTCCTCCTCCTCCATTGTTGCTAATTAAGCTTATCGCTCAGGTTCTGGTTTAAACTTGTGAAAAGATGGGGAGTACGGGCAAGGCTATCAGCCTGGAGGAGATCAAGAACGAGACTGTTGATCTGGTATATTTTTCTTCCTCATTTTCTCAGGAAAATATGGTTCTTGATTTTGTTTGTGTTAGTTTTTTACTTTTTCATGAGTTGGGTTTTTGCTTAATCTTTAGACCAAAGTGAGTTTACTTGTTGCATGTTCCTAGTTTTCTAGCTGTGTATGCTGTGGATTGACGCTTAGATCTGACTTTATCATGTTCTTACAAAATTGATTCATTCATTTCTGCAACTACTCTCCCTTCATTTGTTTTTGGTTATCTGATACCTTTTGTGAAACGGATTCGCTGCTATGTGCTTAAAAGATTAACTTTTTGTAAAACGGATTCACTGACATGTAACATCTGTGTCCATTAATATAGCTATGTAAAAATGAAACTATTGATCTAGAACGTCATAGTGATACTAAATATATTCCATATAAATCATTTCTTTTCTTCTTTTATCACAGAAACGTTCCATGTCAATACAGTTTGTTCTAACTCTCTCTCTCTCTCTCTCGCACCGGTGTTTGTTTGCTTTTAGGGATTGGATGTACTTTTCCGTGGTACTTTGGGTTTTTCCTGTTTGAGGAATTCTCTTTTTTTTTATCTCAAAAATCTTAAACCGTTTCCCCTGTGATAACTCTCACATCCACCCTCTCTCCTGACACCATTGGATTTATAAAACACCCTTTTTTTATTTTATTTTTCTGTACCTCATTTTTATTTTTTTGGTCAAACTACCGATCTGTTAGATTATTCGTTAGATTAGAAAGACGACGAAGTTCGAGATAGCAGAATTCGCATCCCGGTGGTGCAAGAACGACATGCATCTATATCATAGTGGTAGAAGACCACTTACAAAACCAACACTTCTAGTTAAACTCTTTTTGTACCTCAGTTGCCTTTCGATACTTTATGTTGTTTACACCAGCGTTTGGGTTTTTCGTATTGGGTGCGTGCAGGTCACGCACCAGTCACGCTCTTGCCTTGAAAAGTTGTGTTGTGCCCCTAACAAGAGATTTTTAGGGGGGTTTGGCACATCCCATGTTGTAATATAATTAGATTTTATTTTATTTTTTGCTCATTTCAGAAGTACTGGAAAATCTCTTTATTAACTAACACAAACACTTTTTTCATTTTTATTAATATAATAAATAAAAATGAAATATATTATAACTGCGTGGGTCAACGCTTTTGTGATTGGCTAGCATCCCTAGGAGGGCCAGAATTTGGATAAATATAAAAAAATTGTGAGGTTTGATTTTCGAGTCATTGTAACCGTTGAAAATCAAAATTCATGGTCAGCAATCATCAAGTTGTAACCAATAAAAGGGGTTTGGATCCCATTTGGATTCAAATTGTGAGGATCTAAGGATCCTCATATCGTAACCGTTTATCATATATCGTATGATCAGAAATCATTTTAAATTTTATTATTTAAAATTAAATATAAATAGTACTTAATGAAAACTGATCGCACAATGTACGATGAACAGTCATGATGTGAGAATTCTTAGGATTCAACAAAAAGGATTCAGAGAGGATCTTCATCCCAATAAAATGCTTGACGTTACTTTTGAAAAATAAAGGATTTCCTTTGAGATTTGATTCAAAAATAAAATCCATTCAATTTCGATTTCAAGGTTAAATTTTGAATGCTATGTGATAGATAAGATAATATCTTCTCACCGTTTCTCTCCTTGCGAATTTATATTTGGAATTTGGATGTGATAAAAGAGAATGTCCTACTCTACCGCTTTTACGGTTACGTGAACGAAATACTACTATTGGATTTTTTTTTTTTGAACAAACGATATTATCTACACTAAAGAGCAGAGGGTGAGTTTAGCTTCACAATGAACTAGCAATAATTTAATTCAAATTCACTTTTGGCGAAGCGAATTTGAACCTAAGACCTCTAAATTACTAGTGATGAAGAATATTACTGGACCGTAATACTAATTGGCTAATTTTCAATACTACTATTGGATTATATGTAATTGGATAAGTTGGTCACTTAAGTGGTGTGTCATTCACTTTAAACTGTAATTGTGGTAGATTAAAACCTTTCTCTTGGATAAAATAAAGGACAAAATAAATTAAAGGAGAGTAGCAAAAGTGTGAAGAAAGAGAAAATGCGTACAGGAAAATAATATTGCCTTATATCTCTTATTTCTTTTATTTTCCAATTATTATTATTTTTGGCAGCTGGCTTGATTTGAATTGTAGTATGCATTTATTTTTGTGGGATCTACTAATCTAGTAATGTATAGAAATCTCTCACATGTGGACCTCAAGCCCTATGGTTTAAAGAATGTCAAGCAAATGAACTGGCTTATATACTTTGAAATTACAAAAAAAAAATGAACTGGCTATACTTTATATGCATGTTACATGTTCACTGAGATGTGATTCCCCGACAGTTTGTCAACAGTTCATTTGTCAACTTGCAACAGTTATCATTTGGCTGGAATTGTATGCTACTTTATATAAATATAAGAAAGCGAAAACTGGAATTGCATCATATTTACTGATCAAATATCCGAGTTTGTACAAATAATTTACCGGAACAAAATATTTGTATTTAATTTGACTAAATATTTTAACCAAATCATAGTTTTTATAGGTGGTGTGTGGTATGTATGAATGCTTGAAATTATAGTGAGCATTATAAGTATTTCTTTCCTAACAATGAGTTGGTTTACAGGAGCGGATTCCGGTCGAGGAAGTGTTTGAACAGTTGAAATGTACCAAAGAAGGCTTGAGCTCGGAGGAAGGAGCCCAAAGGCTAGAGATTTTTGGTCCGAACAAGCTAGAAGAGAAAAAGGTCATTTTCCTAATAATATAACTAGCTTCTCCGCGCGAGCGAGTGCAAGAGACATTTTTCCTTTTACTACAACGATTGCATACATTAAATTTTGTTTTTACTAGCTTTTGGTATAGTTTAGTTCATAATATCTAAATATTTGTTACTGCTACAATGAACAGGAAAGCAAATTTCTCAAGTTCCTGGGGTTTATGTGGAATCCTCTATCATGGGTCATGGAAGCTGCAGCCATCATGGCAATTGCTCTGGCCAACGGCGATGGGAAGCCGCCAGATTGGCAAGATTTTGTCGGTATTCTCTGCCTGTTGGTCATCAACTCTACCATCAGTTTTATTGAAGAAAACAATGCCGGAAATGCAGCTGCTGCTCTTATGGCTGGTCTTGCTCCTAAGACTAAGGTAATCCAAATCAAACATTTCAATAGGGTCCTGGATTTCTGTGGCTTTGTACTCAAGTAAGTAACTTTAGTTTTAAGGAGCCTTTTCAACAGTTCAAGAAAACCGCATGAATAGTCACTGACATTAGTTGCACTAGACAAGATGCGGTGGCTAAAAGCACTATCAAATCCTAATAATTAAATACGAAATTATTGGTGGCTAAAAGCTTGAGCCGCCTCATCTTGTGCCACTCTTATGGCGTCTATTTATGTTGTTTTCTTGTAGCGCAAACATCACCGTTTTTGTTCTGTTAATAGAATCCATTCTCATATGTAGGCTAGTAGGGAATGTGGTAATATAATAAGATTTCTACTATCGGCACTCCTAGCGACATGTGTCACGAATCGATAACAAAATCAATAAATTTCTCACAGTCGTTTATGTTGCACAGATCGATTTAACAGACAGTCGATATGAGTCTCAGACGCTTCTCACACAACCATGCACCTCGCTAATTGGAGGCAACAATATAATTCTTATGTGTTTGATGGCGATGTATATGTAGGTGCTTAGAGATGGAAAATGGAGCGAGGAGGATGCTGCGATCTTGGTTCCAGGGGACATCATCAGTATCAAATTGGGAGATATCGTCCCAGCTGATGCTCGTCTTCTCGAGGGTGATCCTTTAAAGATTGATCAATCTGCCCTCACAGGAGAATCACTTCCAGTGACCAAGCATCCAGGTGATGAGGTTTTCTCCGGTTCAACTTGCAAGCAGGGTGAAATTGAAGCTGTTGTTATTGCCACCGGTGTCCATACCTTCTTCGGGAAGGCTGCACATCTTGTGGACAGCACTAACCAAGTCGGACACTTCCAGAAGGTGCTCACTGCCATCGGGAACTTCTGTATCTGTTCCATTGCCATTGGAATGGTGATTGAGATCATAGTCATGTACCCAATTCAGCACCGCAAGTACAGGAATGGAATTGACAATCTCTTGGTGCTCTTGATTGGAGGCATTCCCATTGCCATGCCCACTGTCTTGTCCGTGACAATGGCTATTGGTTCTCACAGGCTATCTCAGCAGGGTGCCATCACCAAGAGGATGACTGCCATTGAGGAAATGGCGGGTATGGATGTACTTTGCAGTGATAAGACAGGAACACTAACTCTTAACAAGCTTAGTGTCGATAAAAACTTGATTGAGGTGTTTGCAAAGGGTGTGGAGAAAGATCATGTCATTCTTCTAGCTGCAAGGTCGTCCAGAACTGAAAACCAGGATGCCATTGATGCTGCTATGGTTGGAATGCTTGCCGACCCAAAGGAGGTATAAATCATTTCCAACTTTTCTTGTATGCCCTATAATTGGTTCTTCATTAATTCTGGGACGGAATTTTCAATGGATATGCTCATCTTAATGAATTCATTTATACGCAGGCCCGAGCTGGTATTAGAGAGGTGCACTTCTTACCATTTAATCCCGTCGACAAGAGAACTGCTTTGACTTACATTGATTCCGATGGAAACTGGCATAGAGCAAGCAAAGGTGCCCCTGAGCAGGTACTTCTGTTTTTCCTATAGTTACCTGGTGCATTACATTATTGAAAGGTAAGCGTTCATACTCACAGACTAATGAATTGATTTCTGTAATTAGATTTTGGACCTCTGCCTCTGCAAAGAAGATTTCAAGAAGAAGGCTTTTGCCATCATTGACAAATATGCTGAACGTGGGCTTCGGTCATTGGCTGTTGCCAGACAGGTTTTATACTCAACCTTGACGTTTTTAGTATATCTTGCATTTTTTTCAGTTTTATAAGAAGTTGAGCACCCGCTTATCATTGTGATTGGTATATGTTTACAGGAAGTGCCTGCGAAAACAAAAGAAAGTTCTGGTGGTCCATGGCAGTTTGTTGGATTGTTGCCTCTTTTCGACCCTCCAAGACATGATAGTGCAGAAACCATCCGCCAGGCTCTTAACCTTGGTGTAAATGTTAAGATGATTACTGGTAAGTCGGTTAATATTCAACCTACTTTAATGGATTCATTCTTATTTTGTGTGTGGTTGTGCTTACTTGCTGTCACCGTTTCTGTGTCTGCAGGCGATCAACTTGCCATTGCCAAGGAAACTGGTCGGAGACTTGGAATGGGAACAAACATGTACCCATCTGCTTCCTTACTTGGTCAACACAAGGATGCAAGCATCGCTGCCCTTCCTATTGAAGAGTTAATTGAGAAGGCTGACGGGTTCGCTGGAGTGTTTCCAGGTGAATACTTTTGAGCAGGGACTGATTAGAGGGTTTCTCTGTTTTCTAATACGGAAAGTGATTTTTTCTTACACATCTTCTTGCTTCTTGTAGAGCACAAATACGAAATTGTGAAGAAGTTGCAGGAAAGAAAGCACATTTGTGGAATGACTGGAGATGGTGTCAATGATGCCCCTGCACTGAAGAAGGCAGATATCGGAATTGCTGTTGCCGATGCTACCGATGCTGCACGAAGTGCTTCCGACATTGTTCTTACAGAACCCGGATTGAGTGTCATCATTAGTGCAGTGTTGACCAGTAGAGCTATTTTCCAGAGAATGAAGAACTACACTGTTAGTTTTCCTGCCTTTCTCATCAAAAGACCACTCTGATCGAACAGTTTATGATGGAAAGTCTAACGTTTTCCTCCTGTTTTGTTTTCTTTGTCTTTTGCAGATCTATGCAGTTTCTATCACCATTCGTATTGTGGTAAGTAAATAGAGGTGGTTTAACAATTTGTGGTTTCTCTCCCTAATCAAGTCTTTATCTTATTTGTTTTATTTTTATTTGGCAAAACATTGCAGTTCGGTTTCATGTTCATTGCTCTCATATGGAAGTTCGACTTCTCACCCTTCATGGTTTTGATTATTGCCATATTGAACGATGGTAAGTTTTATGAAGCGAACTTTCAAATAGTATATGATATATATTTATGTGACTACTGACACCATGCACTCGGTAAATTTTGAAGGCACAATTATGACAATCTCAAAGGATAGAGTAAAGCCATCTCCCCTGCCTGATAGCTGGAAATTGAAAGAGATTTTTGCTACTGGGATTGTGCTTGGAGGTTACTTGGCACTGATGACTGTTATCTTCTTCTGGTTAATCAAAGAAACCGACTTCTTCTCTGTAAGATGATCTTTCTTATGCTTTTCTCTTTTCTGTCCATCATTTGTTTTCAGAAACTTTCATGAAGTTCAGTTTCCAATATGCATTTTCTGCTCATTATTTTGCAGGACTCATTTGGTGTAAGATCCATAAGGGAGAAACCTGAGGAACTAATGGCTGCCTTGTACCTGCAAGTGAGTATTGTGAGCCAGGCCCTCATTTTTGTGACTCGATCCCGTGGCTTCTCCTTTATGGAACGACCTGGAATGCTTCTAATGAGTGCCTTCATGATCGCGCAACTGGTAAGAAGAATGCCGCTTATATCCTCTATTAAATAAGCAAGTTTTTATACAAGTTATAGAAGGCTGAAGATTACCCTTCTTCAGATTGCAACTTTGCTAGCAGTATATGCCAAATGGGGTTTCGCAAAAATACACGGAGTTGGTTGGGGATGGGCTGGTGTCATCTGGATTTACAGCATTGTCTTCTATTTCCCACTAGACTTTATGAAATTCGCCATTCGGTATATCTTGAGTGGAAAGGCGTGGCTCAACTTGCTAGAGAACAAGGTAAATCTTTGTTCTTTCGAATAGAAGGTGAAATCATTTACTTTGATCGGTGAAGTCAAAGTTTTCTAATTATTTATCCTACTGTAACAGACTGCCTTTACCACCAAGAAAGATTATGGAAAAGAAGAAAGAGAAGCTCAATGGGCTCATGCTCAAAGGACACTTCACGGTCTCCAAGCACCGGAATCTTCTAGTATCTTCCATGACAAGAACAGCTACAGAGAGCTGTCTGAGATTGCTGAGCAGGCCAAGAGACGAGCCGAAGTTGCAAGGTAAGCTACCATTCAGAATTTCAAATGTTACCTACAGGAAACAATTCGTTTCTCAATTCCTGTTGCATAACATCACTTTCAAAGTTGTATGAATGATGGGTAATGTTCTCTTGTTAGCAATCTGGAAAGTTATGTTGCCATATTGTAAATTTGGACCGTACTACTAGCTCGGTAGTCCAGATTGACAGCCTAGCAACATATTGACATAACTTGTCACATATTCTGGCAAGAAAACATTTTCCTATAATTGACAGTATCTTCCTGCGTGCCATCGGTTTATTGAAACCAAATATCTTGTTAATTTGTGGTTGTAGACTTCGGGAGCTTCACACTCTCAAGGGACATGTGGAATCAGTGGTGAAACTGAAGGGCCTGGACATTGACACAATCCAGCAGCATTATACAGTGTAACAATCCAGAACAAACGCTACCCGGGAAAGAAAGGGCCGGAGTTCAACAAAGTAACAAAGTGATGAGGAGAGATAGAGGAAGAAAGAAAGACAAATCAAAAGCAGGCCTAATTAGTTAAACATTTCTAGATATGGTGGAGAGCATGTCTGTGCTATATATAAAACTCTCCTTCGTTTTATATTTGCATTCTAATGTATTTCAAGTGCAAGATAAAGGGCTGTATTTGGTTTATTTTTGCTCGTCTAAGGGGCCAAACAATGTCCTCCAGTTTTAATCTACTTTCTATCTTTCTTTGATAGTTTGCACCATCTTTGTATCCACTCTTTGAGCGTTTATCTAATGCAGGATGTGAGACAGCATTAGAACGCTGATGGCACAACCCTCGGATGCTGACATTAGAGAACAATTGCTCACACATTCTGTACTATTCCTGCATTAGAGAACAATTGCTCACTCTTCTGCTAATACCGTAGCAGCCCTGTTGTCTATCACTTTTGAATTACATGGAAACAATTATAACCACTACGGCGCTAGGCAGCTAGTCACCATCTCGATTAATGCCTAGGCTTTTGAAAATTAAGAAATAATACTTAAACCTGCTGTGGTTAGAGATGTTAAGTTCAACTAACAAACTAAAATAGTTTTTCAACACTGTTCGCTAGCTAATTTAACAAAAAATTGAAAGGACTCTTGAAGATGCTTACGAGCCAAACATAGAAACACCTAAGCTTTGCTTGCTTCTTAACGAGCCAGCATAACTTTGCTTGTTTCTATTACTCTCCGAGCTTAGACCAGCCAAATGCAAACCAAGCTTAATACAAATTTAGCATTAAGTCAATGTACTGCTTTAAAAGGGTTTGCATTTCAAATGTCATTAAATGTTTCAAAGATACAACACCATCACATGATGAAAATCACACTCACCAGAGAAAATTACCGTCCTCTAACCCCAACATCGTGACCTTACCTCAACGGATTTGTCAGCGGATGAAATGACAATCGTAAATTCGATCTTCCTATTATATTCATTTGCATATACGATGTAACTCAACCGAGCACTAGGTTATTTTAACCCGATCGTATGATTTTTGTTATTTTAGTAAGAGTCATCTATTTTAATTCAATGAGTAGAAATAAATTCTCAATTTAAAGTTCGTGTATAGCCCCATCTCGAAGTCTTAACTTAACAAGCGAGTGGATCTACACCACAGGTGTAATGAACCTCTAACATTATCCCACGTGGCAACCTCAGAATCATAAAAACAACATTTAAAACGAAAACAGAAGAACTGCAACTTCAAACAAGTAAGCATGTCGTCCTCCATATCCTCATCTCAACAGAGCTTTCTAGCCAACGTTCTCACCCCCCCACCCCACAAACCCAAAACCAAGATTCTCATTTCTAACACTTTCATCTCATGCAAAATATTTGATGAAACGCCCAGAAAGGATGAGAACAAATTGGCAAAGTTGGCAATGGTGACACTGGCAGCTGGGGTGTTGACATTGGGCTCAGTTCATGATGCATCAGCTGCCAAGTCTGGTGGGAGAGTTGGAGGCCAGGCGTTTCGGTCTTCGACTCCTCGGTCTTCGTCCCCTAGGATCAACAACAATTCAAGGTAATTAACAATTGTACCAAGTTTTAATTCGATTATTTCCGTGTTTGGATTGGATTGCTGCGTTTGGTTAAAAAAGTTATTAGTAAGTTCCTGCTACGGATTTTATACTTTCTTAGAGTCATGTATCGGAATTTAAAATTCTAGTGGCTTTAAGTTGTGGAGAGATTCAATTAGGAAATAATAAAGTGCTACTACTCAGAGAATCCAGGGTTGGAACTTAGAAGGGCCTCCTATTAAACTTTTCAAGTTAAGTTTTTAATGAAATCGGTTCCCTTGTGAAATTTATGGCAATCTATGACATATGGATAAGAGATGATCACTTTGAGGATTGGGTTGAGACATCATTTTCGGGTTGAAAAAATAAAAAACGGTTTGTGTTTTTTATATAAGCGATAATCCAAGCTAAATTAATCAAAACTACTAGAAGTGGCAATCGAACTTGAATGCAAAGAGCAGAGTACCTGTTCTAGCTAACTTGACTAAGTTCATTAGTGCCCCGGATAATACTGATTTAGCACATATATTTTGTAATCGATAGTTCCCATGCACTTATTTAACAATGTAAATCAACCAGCCTTCCATACTTGAACTATTACCATTTCGTTCTAATTTCCTTTTCATACCAAAAGTCACGAACTATTGGCTGTTAGATATTGGGTGGTACTATCTACACACCCAATTTTACCTTCACGCACCCATGTTAATTTCAATCATTTGGTCTTCTTCAATTCATTTAACCGATGACCAGAAATTGAGATGGGTGTGTGGCAGGTAAAAAGAAGTGTATGGTTGGCACCACCCTAGATATTTTATTGTTATCTGAGTTTTATTATTTTACATTAGATCACTGAGATCAAATCATTCCTTGTGCCATCAAAAAATATATTGTTCATTAGTGGAACTAGTCATTTTTTGACATGATTTTTGGATTGGTAGCTCCCTTTTGTAATGCGTTTAAGTTTATATCTAAAGATATGTTAACTTATATGTGTGTCTATAATTTGTAGGACCAATATCTACATCAATCCTCCAGTAGCACCACCTCTAGTTGGTGGCTATGGATATGGCTATGGAGTACCGTTCTTCGGAGGCTGGGGTTGGTCTCCATTTTCATTTTTTGCCCCAGGCCCTGGTGTTGCCATTGGCATCGGTGGCGGGTTCCAACTTTTCGCTTTCTTTGTGTTTCTTGGTGCTCTTGCTGCTGTTGCAAGGAGATTCACTGGATCAATAGACGAAGAAGAAGATGATTACTAGCAACAAACATGTTATACAAACCGATGCTTATATGCTTCATACTGCACTGTGTTGGAAAATATTAGTATTTTATTATTATTTGAGTTTGCTTGTTAGTTAGTGTGTGGGCCTAGCCCATCTGAATTAGGGTTTTTAGGTTTTGCTCTATAAATATAGCTTATAGTTTAGCATGGATAAATAAGTCATTCACAATGTAGTCTCTTAGGGTTTTGTAGTCGTTTCGTCATTCTCAGTTTGTTTAATAATACTCTTATTATTTTGTTAGTCTTGATCGTTGCGCACTCTGATATTCAACTTGGTATCAGAGCGGGTTCGATCCTTAGGGTTCAATCCGTTCTCGTTGGTATCAATTTGTTTGTATCAGTTTTGTTTCTGTTATCTTCCGCTGTTTGTGTTTTCGTTTTAGATTTGTTAGTTGGTATTGATTGTTTGCAAGAAAAAAAAATAGAAAGGATCTTGCTGCTGTTGTTTGTTTGCACAGAAGAAAAAAAAAGGGAAAACAGAAAGGTTTTGCTGTTTGTTCGCATGAAAGAAAAAAGAAAGAAAAACGGGAAGGAAGGAAAGGATAGAAAGAAAGAAAAAGCAAAAAGAGAAGGAAAAAGAAAAACAATTGGTTGCTGTTAGTTTAAGGTCCACGGGCAACAAGAGAAAAATGGTTAAGTTTGTTTTTAGGTCCACATGAGTTGTTGGCCTGTTTGGAATTGTTTTGTTCTTTTGTTGGTACAATTGAGATATGGAAATCTCGTTCGTTTAGTAACGAGTTTTTTTCATACTCTCAACACTAGCCAGTTTGAACATGAATCAAGAATCAAGTCAAGTCAAGCTAGCCAGTTTAAACAAGAATCAAGAATCAAGTCAAGTTAGGTTAAGTCAAGTTCGCAAGTTCGCCAATCAAGTTAAGTCAAGTTCGCAAGTTCGCCAGTCAAGTCAAGTCAAGTCCAGTCAAGTTTGCATGTCTGCTAGTCCGCATCTGCTTGTTTGCAAACTCATGTCGTATACCGCCATGAGTTTGACGGGGGGGGTGTTGGAAAATATTAGTATTTTATGATTATATGAGTTTGCTTGTTAGTTAGTATATGGGCCTAGCCCATCCGAATTAGAGTTTTTAGGTTTTGCTCTATAAATATAGCTTATAGTTTAGCATGGATAAATAAGTCATTCACAATGAAGTCTCTTAGGGTTTTGTTGTCGAAACGGCATTCTCAGTTTGTTTAATAATAGTCTTATTATTTTGTTAGTCTTGTTTGTTGCACACTCTGATATTCAACTTACTGTATACAAGATAGTTTCAGTTGCTACCTGGTGTACTATGGAATAGCATTATGTAGTATTAACTCGCCACCACTATTAATGTAACATACGCAATTCTTGTGATTTTTTTTGGGAAATTGACAAAAATGGACCATTTCCTTAATCTTAGGACTAAAATAGAATTGTTGGGATATGCGCAGCCCATGCACACGGCATGCACAACGATATGACAGAAATATGGTGTTTCTAAAACTTAAAATGACCAAATTGTCCTCATATATAAATTGGTTATTGCAAAGACCCAGTTAGCATTTTTTTCTTTCCTTGTCCGTAGACCTCTCTTGCGACCCCTACTTGACGATTGGCAAAGAGAACCCCTAAATCACCCTAGCATCGCTCTTTCGGGTTCGTCTCTCTTTCTCTCTCTCTCTCTCTCTCTCTCTCTAACTCGATCATCGTCTCCATTTTGGGCTTCTAATTACTTGCTTTTTGAATTGGGTTTTTTGGATTTGTAATGATGGCAAGTCGAAGAAAAGAGGGATAAGGAAGAGATCATGTTGAGGACTGAAATGTTAGAATAGAGGAATATGACCTTGTTTTCCAGAATGTGAATCAAGAAGAAAATGAAAGATTTCTCCAACCACAGATGAATACAGAAAGAATGTTCAAACAGAACTAACAAAGCTTTTCTTCATTCATACTCAGCACATAAGGCATGTGCAAGGATATATCCGTAGAGAAGAGATAGATAACCTCTCATTTTACACAATTCAATCTCTACCATTCATGTAATCTACCCTATAAGATAGATACAAGTGGCAATATACACTACTAAAACTAAGATTACATCTCAGCTGTCCAATTGGTCTATAATCCAATGGCTCACATTTAAACTTAGAAACATTAGAAAAACAGTACACACACTTATATTCCAACACTCCCTTCTAAGTTTTGTGCTGAAATTACTCCAAGCTTCTGTCTCAGAAGTTCAAATCGATCTCTGGCCAAAGCCTTAGTGAAAATGTCTGCAACCTGTTCCTCTGTCTTGCAGTACAGTAAGTCGATTTCTCCATCTTGTAGTGCATCACGAATGAAATGAAGTCTCCTGTTTATATGTCGTGTCTTATAATGGTGCACATGATTTTTGGTTATGGCAATAACAGATGTATTGTCACATAAGATTGTAGTTGGCTCAACCTATTCTTCACCAAAATCCGAGAGAACAAATCTCAACCAAATTGCTTGTGCTGTGGCCTCTGCTGCACTAACATATTCAGCTTCTGCAGTAGATAATGCAACACTACTCTGCTTGACTGATGCCCACGAAAACACTCCTGAACCAAGATTAAATGCATACCCAGATGTGCTCTTCATGTCATCCTCACTACCTGACCAATCACTGTCACAGTAGCCAATAAGCATTGCTTCATTTCCCTTCTCATATGCTATACCATAATCAAGTGTGCCTTGAATGTATCTAAGCACTCTCTTAGCTGTTCCCATATGTTTTTAGTAGGACCATGCATGAATCTTGCTAACAAACTTGCTGCAAACATGATATCTAGCCTTGTTGCAGTCAAGTATAATAGGCTTCCAACCATCTGCCTATATAGACCCTCATCAGCTTGTTCACTACCATCCATTTTAGACAGTTTATCATTCACAGCAAGAGGGGTAGCAATAGATTTACAATCTTTGAAACCAAACTTGTCTAACAGTGTCTTTGCATATTTCTTCTGATGCAAGAAAATGAAATTATCAGTTTGTATCACACCAAGACCCAAGAAATGATGCAACAATCCAAGATCAGTCATTTCATATTGTCTCATCATTGCAGTTTTGAACTCCATCAACAATTCTTTTGAATTCCCAGTGTAGATTATATCATCCACATATAGTGAAACAATAAGTATTCCACCTTTAGTAATCTTCACATATAAAGTTGCTTCACTAGGACTTCTTTGAAAACCTGCCTTAGTGAAATAGGAATTAATTTCTTCATACCAAGCTCTTGGAGCTTGCTTAAGACCATAAAGTGCCTTCTTGAGTCTGTAAACCCCATCTTCCTTGGTTTTAATCACAAACCCAAGGGGTTGATCAACATAAACCTCTTCCTGCAATACTCCATTTAAAAATGCTGACTTCACATCTAATTGATAAAGTTTCCAACCTTTCTGTGCAGCCAAAGCAACCAAAGTCCTTATTGTATCAAGCCTAGCAACCGGTGCAAAGGTCTCATTGAAGTCTATACCAGGCTTTTGAGAGTAACCCTTTGCAACAAGTCTTGCTTTATTTTTCTGAACTGAGCCATCAAGATTCAACTTAATTTTATAAACTCATTTGACACCAATTACTGGTTTATCAGATGGTCTATCAACTAGCTCCCAGGTATTATTCTTTTCTATCATTGTAATTTCACTCTCCATTGCTTTCTGCCATGCTTCATCCTTGACAGCTTCTTCAAATGTTTCAGGTTCAATTATACACAGATTGCATCTTTCATACACTTCTGCAATACTTTTATATTTCAAAGGTGTGTGATCAACATCTTGTGGACCTGAATCAGATTTAACATGTATTTCTTCACTATCTTCTGGTATTTCAACATCATCTTCAGAGATCTCAGCTTGAATCAACCTTGTTCCTTCAATCTCATTTCCGTGAGAGAATCAGTAAATGGTATTGTAAGACTGCATTCCTTTTGTGCATTCCAGTCCCAACAAGCTTCCTCATTGAACACCACATCTCTAGAAATAATGACTTTTCCAGAGTTAATATTGTAAAGCTTGTAGCCTTTCTCACAACTTCCATATCCCAGAAACACACATTTTGTACTAGTCAAATCAAACTTTTGTCTCTGCTGTTCTGGAATATGTGCATAGCACAGAGAACCAAACACTTTTAGATGTTTGATTCCTGGCTTTCTTCCACTATAAGCTTCAAATGGAGTTTTCTTGTCTAATGCCTTAGTTGGACACCTATTTAGAACATACACTGCAGTGTTGACTGCCTCTGCCCAAAACTCCAGTGGTATATTCTTTTCAAACATCATACATTTAGCCATCTCCACAATAGTTCTGTTCTTCCTTTCAGCTACTCCATTCTGCTGTGGTGAGTATGCCACAGTGAGTTGCCTTTCCATTCCCACTTCTTCACAGAATCTGTTAAACTCAATAGATGTGTACTCACCCCCTCGATCACTTCTCAGCTTTTTCAACTTATATCCACTTTGCAATTCAACAGTGGCCTTGAACTTCTTAAAAACATTGAATACATTTGATTTGTATCTTAAAAAATAGACCCAACACGTCCGAGTACAATCATCTATGAAGGTGAGAAAATACCTATTTCCAGCTTTGGTAATGGTTTGCATTGGTCCACAAACATCTGTGTGTACCAACTCCAATGGAATAGTAGCTCTACTTGTTGTCTCCCTTTGAAAAGAATCTCTGCAATGTTTCCCAAGAGTGCACCCCTCACACACATTATTAATGGTCTTGATTTCTGGCAATCCAAGTACCATTTCTTTCTCCTATAGTAGCTTCAGACTGTTGACATTCAAATGGCCCATTCTTCTATGCCAGATCAATGTTGACTCATTTACACTTGCTTTTAATGCAAGATGCAAATTTGTTTGAAATTTCAAAGGAAAACTTCTGTTTCCTCTCATTGGCACCTTAGCAACCAAATTTGAAAGAGAGCAATCATAATAAATTTCTGCTTTGTTATCTCCAAAAATAAGGAAATACCCGTGCTCCATCATTTGCCCTACACTTAGTAGATTCTCTTTGAGACCTGAGACAAGCATCACTTCATTGATATATCTCCTTCCCATCTTTGTATCCACTACCAAACTTCCTTTTCCTATAACATCAACCAACTGTCCAGTTCCCATTTCTACCTTGGCAATTATGCTTCTGTCAATGTCAATCAGTACATCTTCTCTACCAGTCATGTGGTTACTACAACCACTATCCACATACCATACATCTTCAATAGACTTCTTGTCAGCCGCATTACTTACATAGAACATAGTAGTTGCAGAAGGAACCTGAGCTGCAAAGTTTAGTTGCTGAATACCTTGAGCATTTTTCTTATTATTACAATCCCTTGCAATGTGACCTATTTTCCCACAACAATGACACTTAGGCTTGCCTTTAAGAAAACACTCTCCATAATGGTACTTATCCCAGTGCTTGCAAGGATTTCTTCCCCCTTCTGCAGCTACAATTTGCTTTCCAGATTGGTAAATAGGCTTTTGTTTCCAATTTTTGTATTTTGGCTTCCAATTCTTTTGGTATCGATTGCCTTGATTTCCAGAAGAATTGACAGGTTTGGGTTTCACACTTAGACTCGCAAATGCTCTCTCAGTCTTGTTCTCATTATGTCTCTCCAACCTCTGTGCAAAACTTTTCAATGAGGCAACTACCTCTTGAACCTCAATCACATCTATATCCCTTGAGTGTTCAATCACAGAGCATATAGAATCATACGCAGAAGGTAAGCTAATTAATAATTTTTGCACAATCCTCTCTCTAGACAACTATTCTCCATAACTTCTCATTTGATTTATCAGATCGAATAATTTTGTAAGATAAACAGAAATTGATTCATCATCTCTCATTCTGGTATACTCAAATTCTCTACGAAGACCTTGTAATTTAACACTTCTAACCTGTTTGTCTCCATGAAATTCTTGCATCAGAATATCCCAGGCTCCCTTATAAGTTTCTTTGTGTGAGATCCGAGGAAAAATTTCATCGGAGACTGCTCCCTGAATCAGTCCAAGAGCCTTGGCATCTTTCATGAGCTTCTCCGTGGAAGATGCAACTTCGCTCGATCCCTCTTTCTCCTTCGTCTTCAGATCTGAGTCAGCTCCCTTCGAATCTGAGTACTCGATTCCTTTTTCAGCAAATTCCCATAGTCCATGAGACTTAAAAATGGTCTTCATCCTTATGCTCCAGAATTCATAATTCTCGCCGGTGAAGATCGGCCCTCTCAGCTCACCTCCTCCAGATCCTGCCATGTTAGACACAGATCTCGTAACTTCACAGATTCAATCTCCCAGTATTAAACGATTGAACCTGGCTCTGAGGCCATGTTAGAATAGAGGAATATGACCTTGTTTTCCAGAACGTGAATCAAGAAGAAAATGAAAGATTTCTCCAACCACAGATGAATACAGAAAGAATGTTCAAACAGAACTAACAAAGCTTTTCTTCATTCATACTCAGCACATAAGGCATGTGCGAGGATATATCCGTAGAGAAGAGAGAGAGAACCTCTCCTTTTACACAATTCAATCTCTACCATTTATGTAATCTACCCTATAAGATAGATACAAGTGGCAATATACACTACTAAAACTAAGATTACATCTCAGCTGTCCAATTGGTCTATAATCCAATGGCTCACATTTAAACTTAGAAACATTAGAAAAACAGTACACACACTTATATTCCAACATGAAAGCTGTGAAGTTAATCATCTCAAATCACTTCTTGCTCCTGTCCCACAGATGGACTTTGAATAGCATCTTCGACTTGGTGAGTTGGGTCAACATCGGACCCAACATGGCTAGCAACTATGACAGCAATTCTTGGCCCAATTTCTGCGAGTTTCGCTGTGCAGGACGTTTGTGAGCCTTTTCTTTGCTCTGCTTTCTTCTTTCCAGGAACCAATTAGGGTAACCATGGATTTTGAAACATGTTTCTTTCGAGTGACGAGTTCCATTGCAATGGTTGCACAGGATCTTTTCCTTTTCAGCTTCATCCGAATCCCACAGAGAAAGGGAGACTTACTGACCATGGGCATAGAAGGGTTACTGTCAGCATTCTTGCTGCCAAGCATAGTAGTTTATTGCTGTGCTTTACGCCGAACTGTGTTTAAGCACTCTTTTATTACCAGACGCCCATTTTGCTTTGTCCTCATTGCCTTGCATCGCAACTCGTAATACTCAGATTCATCAACCTCATCATAAAACACTCGGTTTGAGCCGAATCCGAAAATGCTAGAAATAAAATAGAAGAGAAAAATCTACTTTCATCAAACTGGTCAACACTGCCCTTTATGTTTATGTTCTTCGCTATATCCAACAAAGAAAGCTACACTCCAATGATTTTCTTTTGATAAAACTTGTTTCTTTATGAAGCACCAATTGAGTAACCAGGTTCCGTCTCATCAACCGCCAAAAAAAAATTTAGGGTCTAGCGGAAGAGAGCCTGAAACTTGCTCTGATGCCAAAATAAATTTTAGGATTTAATTTGTTGTCATACTTGTTTAAATAACAAGAAACTAAAGCAACCCTAATTCTTAATAGGCAAAAAATTATAATCCCTGGTTCACAAGTAAACTAATCCTTGGTTACGGTTTGCTAATTGCCATCATATTGGTTACGGTTTTCACATCTAACACATGGACACCCTTGATCCTCAATTTTTAAGTTATTTCAGTTCTTAATGCAACAAATCAGGATTGAAGATCCTTGTCTGTTTCCTTCCTCAGTTCTGAATGCAAAACCTGCCCAATGTATGTTTCTTCCATGTGATTATGCACCCCACCTACCTTTGGGGAACATTTTATCTAATTTAAATAACTAATGCAAAACTAAAAAAATGCAAGTTAATATAAATGGAATTGTCCAAAAAGAAGGGGAAAAAAGAAAATTAAAAGAATCTGTCCAAATGATGACGATCTTACTTTCAAAACGTTGGTTGTAAGAAAATACATCAATAATTGGGGAGCCAAAGATAAACAAAAAACAGAATAATAACAAATAAAATATGAGCATTACAAGAACGTGGGATGAGAAGATGTGATAGGAAAATGAAAGAAGGTATTGGATCCAGAGAGTAGATAAGTCTTCTGCCCGAAACTAGAGAGATTCCCCTTGGCCCTATCCAATCCTCTGATCTTCTTTTTTTATTTATTTAAATTCTTTGTTTTTTAGGAAAATTAATGAAAAAGACTTCAAATCTTTACATTTTAATAAAAAAAACCATCCACTAACTTTATTTTAATAATAAGGACAAAAGACTAATAAGAAAGAAAGAAAAAGAAAAGAAAAAAAACCTAACAAACCCAACTTGCGCTAGGTGTGTACCCGCCCTCCCCTCCCCAACGGTTGGTTGGGGCGTTGGAACACCAAGGAAGACGAATTGAAGAACACCCACCTTAGGGTTTTAGACAGGTGCGAGCCAATTTGAGGGCCTTCCGGACCAAATTGGACTCGGTCACAAGTATAAAGTTTAATCTACTTGTTGAGATCTTCATTCTTGTAAAATTTGAGAATTTTTGGAAAAAGTCGAATTTCCCTTTGTGTGACATTCGATTTATGAAATGCTGTTGGTTGAGTATATTTTCGATAAGGTCCGCCACTTGAATATTCTAGCAATTGACAATCTTACCATTGAATTGACACCAAATTTTAGTATGCTATTGTAGATATTGTTTAAGGACCATAGGGACTTACTAGTGAAAATCTAGTGGTTGGATCTTACGGAGCAAGTGATGTAAGATCATGGACTATACCTTTGATCGACGGTCTGATTCTCATTAAATGTCGTTGTGGGAGACTTATGAGAGTTTTGGGTATGTGAATTTATCAAGAGAATGTGGACTTGTGCTTTGTTTTAGGCGGTGATAGAGCTTGACGCCTTGAATTCCATGCTAGAGTGCGTTAGTGTGGACCTCATGTGAGTGATTTTAATCTATGTGATATGGTATTTACTCTGAAATCTTCCGTGCTAATATACTTAGTGGTTACACCATGGATTCTTAAAATAGGTCTTATGCTAAATAATTGTTGTTATAAAGTTTGCCATCGATCTACTTAAGAAACATTATGTGACTTGGATATTTGAATTGTTGATGGATTGTGTTTTGAAATATATATTTGATGGTTTAATAAACATGAGGGATTGTAAAGGACTGTTACCCTAGTGTCATGGGGTTAGGTGACACTAAGTCTACACCACGTAGCAATGGTACATGGATGGTCCGGCTTGGTTAATCTACGTCAGGGTACCATACTATTTGTGGATCGCACTTGGTTAATCCGCGTTGGGCGATCCTTATATCCTAGGTATGGCCATACACATTTAGGGGTGATCATGCTTAGTTAATCCGAATTGGGTGATCACTTCCAATAGTTGTAGGAGTGACTTTGCTTGGTTAATCCGCATTGGGGGGTCACTACCTACTTGGTATTTTCTTAGGGGTGGCTCTGCTTGGTTGATCCGCTTTGGGGGGCCACTTCCTATTTGGTTACTTGCGTAGGCTTCGGCCGAACGACGTCTCTCTAGCTCTAGTTTTAAGTGTATTCGTGAATTTTGGCTTCGAGAACTTTGAGTTTGATTTAGAAAAGCCGTTAGATGTCTATGTGACTCATTCAGAGTTTGCAAAGGTTTGGTATTAATTTCTTATGAATTATTTATATTCAAAGTTTATAAATTGTGATTGATGGTTGGTTTTATCATTATTGTCACATACTATTATTGTCGCTCACACGAGCTTCACAACTTATCCGGGTTGTTGTTTGCCCAATGCACCATTTCCATGATGTAGGCACTTATTTCACATGCAACAGGTCTGGGTAAATTATGAGAAACCGTTTGGTTTGATATTTTGGTTCCGTTGAGTAGTTTGGAACCCAATGTTGTTGGATTCCGTTGAGTGGTGGTCCGGAATCCCTTCTACTACGCGATTCCGTTGAGTGATGGTCCGGAATTGTATCTTGATTTGGATTCCGTTGAGTGGTGGTCCAGAATCCCTTCTACTCCGCGATTCCGTTGAGTGATGGTCCGGAATCGTATCCTGATTTGGATTCCGTTGAGTGATGGTCTGGAATCCCCTTTGGTGCCTTGGTTCCATTGGGTGGTCCAAAATCCCCTTTTCCAGAGGTGTAGTCTTTCGGTCAAACTGTGTCGCTCTAGCCCCGCATTTCGACGTGTTGAATGTGTTATTGATGATGTGATGGTTGTCATTATTGATTGATGTGATTATGGAATGATGTTGGTTATGGTTATGGTAATTATGATTAGACTCGTTGAACTTTATGACTAGTGAATATGATTGTGCTCCGTCGTCTGTCCCTTGTAATATTGTATGTTATGCATTGTGATATATTATTGAGACATAGCGATTTAATTGATGAATATTCGAGTGTAGTGAAATGATGAACTACGAATGGCTTGATCCCTATGTAGGGTACGTAGGCAGTCTAACGAGGATGTTAGATGCAACCATAAAATGTACGAAAAATTACTACGTAGTTGGACCTTAAGTTGTGTTTGCCATTTCCCAGAGGCGGGGTATGTTAGATGTACAGGTAATTGGTGATGTCACGTGTCGGTCTTGGACGTATGTCAAGATCGGGGCGTGAAAGATGATCTTGTAAATTTGACTGAATCTTCCCAGCGAGACTAGCATACAGGGGATTTTTGGGTCGGGTTGCATAGAAGAATAAGAAGAAAGTGGATTTTTGGGAGAAGGGGGTGGGTGATGTGGGCTTTAGTGAAGGAAGGTCCTAGGTGGGGGACACGGGTGGATGGGGATGAAGGGGGTTCTGGTTTTAGAGTGAAGGGAGGAAGGGTGGGGGAGACGGGTGGGATAGGAAAAAGGTGGGTGGGTCCCACATTATAAAAATATTTAAATAATAGCATATCTAGTTTTACATTTTTTTTTTGTCATTTCATACAGTCACAGTTGTTTTACATAAAAGTTTACCAAACACTATCATACTGCTTTTTTTTTTTTTTTTTTTCCAAAAGCACTTTTACATAAAAGTTTACCAAATACTCTACTACTTTATTTCACAACTGCTTATTCTCATAGCATAGCAGAAATAATTTTTTTTTTTTTTTCAAAGCACAGCAATACCAAACCAGCCCAAAGAAAGATAGAGAGAAAAGAGGCGCGCCGGGAGGGGGGGCGAGGAAGAGATTCTTCCTTTTCAGAAAATAAGAACAGGAGCTAAAAGACATTAAGATTAAAAAATGAAAGCTTATGAATGAAAAGAAGTACCAACAATCACCAAAACAAAAAAATATGAAAGCTTATCAGCATCTTTCTTTCCAGGGTGACAATGTTATTATTTCTTTCCTTTGCGAATTTCTTATATAAGTTAGATTATGAGTGGCCAAGTATGAAAGTGAAGATGGTCAATTTGCTATTAAAGGATAGTCATAACTTAAAATTTGGTGCGGGACATTAGTTTTTCTTCCTTCAATTTGAAATTTCCGACTAAATTTTTATTGACGTTCAAATAAATATGCTATATTCTTTAGAGTGGTGCTATCCACATGCATTTTTTACTTTCGACACACTATCTGTTAAATTCTATCCGTTGATCCTCTTTAAGTCATTCAATCCGACCATAAAAAAAAAAAAAAAAAAAAAATTAACAGTGTTTGTACCATACTTAGGGCCTCCGTATTTAGATCTCGTATAAATACTCGGGGGACTCAAATGTAATTATGTAATAAATGAAGGGGCAAATATGTAAAAAGGGAATGAGCCCTTAGTCTATAAAAGGGACTCCTCACCCTCACAATCCTCAAGCTCTCTCCCTCACAATCCTTTCACAAACAAAGAAATACAATATCAGTGTGGACGTAGCCCAAACATTGGGGTGAACCAAAATACATCTTGTGTTCTTTACTTGTAGATTCATGGTCGGATTTACGTTGTTCCAAGACCCCTCCGGTTTTGTGCATCAACATTTGGCGCCGTCTGTGGGAATCGACACGAAAAACTATGTCGGTTCTCTTTCATTTTTTCACCTCCACCGTGAATCTGCAAACAACTTCCAGTACCATCAAATGGCTGCCTTACAACTCTTCTCATTATTCTTACTTTTCGTGATCTTCTTCTTCCATCCAACAGCTACGAAAACAAAAAGAAACCCAGAAAATTTTGAGCATATATTCTTTGACTTAAATCAAGTATTTTCTGATCTACTAAAACAAACCCAATTAAACCACCAAATCCAGGCACCAACCAAATTGCACAAAAGCTTAAATTTTTTATCACCAAAACCCCAAGAAACCCAAACCCATTTCATATCTTATAATCATCAACCAAAAGCTTCAATCCCACATAGAAACTCCAGAAAATAAGAAAAACCCAGATCACAAAAAAGAGAAGCAAGAAAGCCAACCAACCTTTCTTGGCCAGCAATGTCCCAAATATGGGCCTTGATGACTTTGCCGTCGACATCCAAGCTGCAGGTGGCGAACTCGACGCCGATGGTGGACTTAGACTCAAGGCTGAACTCATTCCTGGTGAACCTCGATAGCAAGTTGGACTTGCCGACGCCGGAGTCGCCGATCAGCACCACCTTGGAAAGGTAGTCGTAGTCGTCCTCAGCTCTGTACCTAGCCATTACCACTGTGACCCCAAAGAAAAAAGTTTGAAGTTTCTTTCGCTTTTAAGAAGAAGTGCCCTGCATCAAACTGACCCCGCGGACCTCCGGTTCAATTCCCTTTCTGGCTTCGATTCAACTCGCTCCAATCCCACTGTGCCAACTCAATGGCCTTACCTCCGCCGAAGTCAGCCATGGCTTTCACCGTCGTCGATAACGAGGTGGGTCTCGCATGCCGTTTCTGGAACAAGTTCAAGCGAGAATCAATTTTCGCTAAGTACACTCCCTTCATGCTCTGTTTGGCTGCTGGGAATCTAAAGATTAAAACTTTCTGTGATTATATTGCCCAAAATGTTCACTTTCTCAAGGCCTTTGCTCAAGAGTATGAATTGGCAGAAGATTGTGCAAACGATGATGATGCAAAACCTATGATTTCTGAGTTGAGGAGGGCAGTTCTATAGGAGCTGAAAACGCATGATTCATTTGTGAAGGTATGATGAAGCGTTATTTTGTCTGACATAGGATTTATGTGAAACTTGTCCCCAGTGCCCTCATCGTTAACGTTGGGGATTTTCTTCAATAAAATGTGACCTTTTTATTGGAGATTGGGTTGGTCTTATCCTGTACATGCATGTCCATCGAATTGGTAGAACGTGTCGTGGTGGTGATAAGGATGGCACTGCATACACTCTTATTACACAAAAAGAGGCACGTTTTGCTGGTAAGTTAGTTAATAGCTTGGTTGCTGCTGGTCAGATTGTTTCCATGGAGCTCATGAACCTTGCGATGAAGCTTCTGCTATCATTCAACCACTTGAAGCTACTTTTGCTTTTGTCGACCACCAAAGAAGATGCCTACACTTTCATCATGCATGTTCCCATTTTTTGAGAAAGCCAGAGAAAAGCAAATGGGTGGTGTCGGAAAGGTTGTCCAAGCAGTTGTCACTTTAGAGAAAGGAATATTACCCATTTACAGCCGGAGTATACTGACCTTTACAACCAACAAGCGGAAGTGGAAAGCATGGCACACCCATACCCACTGTCATTGATGAATATTTTATTAAGTTGTTTTCTGCAAATTGGAGCAATTATTGTATAGTTATACTGATGTGTAAAGAAGGCAGCATGCCAAAAAAAAAAAAAAAAAAGGCAAGTCCAAAATAATGGGCTGGAATGTTATGTGAAGGGCGAAGGCCCATATGCCCAAAAAAGCCAAGCCCTATGGCTCCAAAATTATTCGGTAGTCTGCTGCTATTATCACCAACCAGGTGATCAAAAGTACACTTAGTACTCCAAAATTATTCGGTACCACCGCTATTATCACCAACCAGGTGATCAAAAGTACGCCTAGTACTCCAAAATTACTCAGCAGCCTGCCGCTATTATTACCAACCAGGTGATCAAAAGTACGCCTAGTACTCCAAAATTATTCGGCAGCTTGCCGCTATTATCACCCACTAAGTGATCAAAAGTACGTCCAGTACTCCAAAATTATACATGAGCATCACTCATGTCAATCATACATAAACATTCATAAGCATCACTCATGTCAATCATACATAAACATTCATAACCATCATTCATATCAACATTCATGAGCATCACTTATGTCAACATTCATGAGCATCACTCATGTCAACATCCATGAGCATCACTCATGTCAATCAAACATAAACATTCATGAGCATCACTCATGTCAATCAGCTTCGAAAACTTCATTTACAGAGCTCCAGCTTCGAGAGCTCCAGCTTCCAAAGATTCATTTACAAAAGCTCCAGCTTCAAAGCTTCACTTGCAAAGCTTTACCTACAAAGCTTCAGTGCAGAGTATACAAATACCGCATCCGAACAATTGCCACTTCGGCCCATACATGGATTAAATTTAAAGTCTCCAGCCAACAAACTCTATTGACTGAAGACTTGGGGGACTTCACTATGTACCATTTATTGGGCTTCCGCAACTGGGCCTCATGAAAAATACTTGGGGGACTTAGCCCATCACTTATGTATTGAGGAGCGAACCCTTATTCTATAAAAGAGACTCCCTCATTTTCATTAGAGAGCACTCATTATTTATGTATTAAGGAGCCAACCCTTATTTTATAAAAGGGACTCACTCACCTTCATTAGAGAGAAACTTTTAGCCCATCATTTATGTATTGAGAAGCGAACCCTTATTTTATAAAAGGGACTCCCTTACCATCATTAGAGATCATCGCTGCCTACTGAGCAACCGCCTCACTGCGAGCATCACTCATAACCCATCACTTATGTATTGAGGAGCGAGCCCTTATTCTATAAAAGGGACTCCCTCACCATCATTAGAGGGCATCGCCGCCTACTGAGCAACCGCCTCGCCGCGAGCATCAACTCTAGCCCATCATTTATGTATTGAGGAGTGAGCCCTTATTCTATAAAAGGGACTCCCTCACCTTCAACGCCATAAGCCGAGCCAACCAAGGCAACATAAGCCACAAGCCGAGCAGCCTCACAACATGTGCTACTTCTAGTTGAGCATCATTTCACATTGAGCACCGCCTCATATCGAGTATCAGTTCTAGACGACATCTAGTTATTTCGGCCCACACATGGACTGAATTTCAAGTCTCCAGCCAAAAGACTCTCTTAACTGAAGACTTGGGGAACTACTGTTTGTACCATACTTAAGGACTCCGTATTTAGATCTCGTATAAATACTCGGGGGACTCAAATGTAATTATGTAATAAATGAAGGGGCAAATATGTAAAAAGGGGATGAGCCCTTAGTCTATAAAAGGGACTCCTCACCCTCACAATCTTCTGACAAACAGAGAAATACAATATCAGTGTGGACGTAGCCCAAACATTGGGGTGAACCACGATACATCTTGTGTTCTTTACTTTCTTGCAGATTCACGGTCGGATTTACGTTGTTCCAAGACCCCTCCGATTTTGTGCATTAACAAACAGATATGTGTTAAAGGTAGAAAAATGTATGTGGATAACATTGTTTATACCATACTTGACCAATCCCAAAACTACCAAGCATCGGTCAATGTCATACCTTCAAGGACCCACTGAGGCATTCATGCAGAGGCACCCATGCTGGAGCACAAGATTTTCCCCCTGAACCAGAAGGCCAATCATAGCCCACGACATTTGTCAACGTCAGAATAAAGCTCCTAGAGTCCCACATCGATTGCAGAAGAAAGCCAAAGACTCTGCTCAACTATAAAAGAAGACCATTCTCCTACAATTAATCCCTAGTGCCATTATTGTACTTAAACTCATCATTAGAACCCACTAATGATGATTATGCTTGAACCTATGTATTGTGTAAACCCTTCATTATTAATAAGAACTCCTCTATCCCGTGGACGTAGCCAAACTTAGGGTGAACCACGTACATCTTGTGTTTGTTTCCCTATCTCTATCTCTTTACATATCATCATCATCACTAGGTGACCGGAGCAACCATGTGAAGGTCACAAACTTGACACTTTACGTTGTTCCAAAGTCTCACTAATTTTCTGCATCAACAAAGATCATCCTATTTTTTATTGCAATTATTCACTAAACCTTATAATTATTTAATCATGCGATCGATTGGAATGTTTTGATTTCTTACCAAACAATATTGACGATCCTTAAACTCTTCTAATTATTATAGTTATGCAAATATTTGTTAGCACGTCCCTGACACCACAAGTTTAAATTCTTGTTATCATAGTGTTGATTCTAAAAACTATCAAACCTACATAGCGCACATGTTGAATAGCTAATGAGCTAACTATATCCTTCGGTTAAATGTGGGCGTGCCAACTAATCGACCGAGCTCGATCGATGAGTAAGATGAATGTGGTGGTGGTGGTATATGCGTTACCGACTTCTATATCCAAGAGATCACAATCGAGGAAGGAACTAGTTTTTGTCTCTGGGTTCTAGAGCTTAAAGACAAGGCTGTTAGTCATTGCAAAATGTAGGATCGTCTGCACCGAGCTCGACTGCTTCAATCATATTTATGAAAATTTAAGTGTGCTGAATCTATATCAAACTGTAAAGACACAAATACTTAAAAGAGAAAAGTATCTTAATTGTGAATGTGGTTCAATTGTTGGAATGCCAAACTCTAAAATGCACTTGAGAATATCTAATCATAAAGTGGGTTCAGCTAAGGAACCCCTGCCGAAGCACAAGATTTTCCCCTTAGCCAGAAGGCCAATCATAGCCCACAACACGTGTCAATGTCAGAATAAAGCTCCTAGAGTCCCACATCAATCGCAAACGAAAGCCAAAGACTTTCCTCAACTATAAAAGAAGGCATTTTCTGCAATTAATCCCTAGTGCCAATACTATACTTAAACTCATCATTAGAACCCATTAATGATGATTATGCTTGAACCTATGCATTATGTAAACCCTTCACTATTAATGAGAACTCACATACCTCGTGGATGTAGCCAAATGTAGGGTGAACCACGTGCATCTTGTGTTTGCTTCCCTATCTCTATCTCTTTACATATCATCATCATCACTAGGTGACCAGAGCAACCGTGCAAAGGTCACAAACTTGATACTTTACGTTGTTCCAAAGTCTCACTAATTTTACGCATCAACAAACATCATCCTATTTTTATTGCACTTATTCAGTCGACCTTATAATTATTTAATCATGCGATTGATTAGAATGTTTTGATTTCTTACCAAATAATATTAGGGATCCTCAAACTCTTCTAATTATTATAGTTATGCAAATGTTTGTTAGCACGTCCCTTGCACCACAAGTTTAAATTCTTGTTATCGTAGTGTTGATCCTAAAAACTACCAAGCCTATGTAGCGTGAATGCTAAATAGTTAATGAGCTAATTATATTATTCAGTTAAATGTGGGCATGCCAACTCATCGACCAAGCTCAATCGATGAGGAAGACGAATTCTACATCAAAGCGATCACGGTCGAGGAATGAACTAGTTTATGTCTATGGGTTCTAAAGCCTAAAGACAAGGCTGCTAGTCACTACGAAGTGCAAGATCGTCTGCACCGG